TGAGTCACTGCTCACTTCTTCAGATGCCTCAAGAAGTGTGTGGTTACTCAGGAAAGTCACAGATTTTGTTACTCTTTAAGGGTCTCCTGGGCTGTTGTTCTTTTCTACTGCAAAAAAACACAGAATGGACTTAACATCGCAATAGAAATGGTATGAAATGAATTCCCACCCCACTCCATGTGCCTGCAAACGAAACATGGTAAGAGTCTTCATTTCATCACAAGCAGGTCGTTGCCATGAACCCAAGATAATGGCTGCCGCCACAGGCAAGGTGGTTGTGCAATGCCAACTCCACTGTTCCTGAAGCAGAGTCCTAACTTGGTCAGGAGAAAGGCGAGCGTACGATTATTTTTACACAATTCAGTGAACAAAGTAGGAGCCACAGCAGTTATACAGCAGAGTAAGAACGAAATCTACTCAGACGTTTCCACTCTGTAATGGTGGAATAGCGGACATTTACTGGAGTGGCTGCTTAGTGTATCTCCTGGCCAAAGAGCCTCCTCAAGGCCTCTTTCATCTTGTCATTCCTCAGAGTGTAGATGAAGGGGTTCAGCATGGGTGTGACCATAGTGTACATGATGGCGGCCAGAGTGTCCTTCTCAGCCGAGAAGCTGGACGAAGGCTGGAAGTAGACCCAGATGACGGTGCCGTAGAATAAGGCCACCACTGTCAAGTGGGACCCGCAAGTGGAGAAGGCCTTTTGCTTTTCCTTAGCGGAAGGAATCCTCAGGACGACCACCAGAATACGGACATAGGAGAAGACAATGACCAGGAGAGCGCTGTTGACCACCAAAGCCCCTTCCGTGTGTACCACCAAAGCATTCAACCGTGTATTGGAGCAAGAGATCTTCAGCAGTGGGAAGACATCACAGAAGAAGTGGGATACCTGCTTGGAAGCGCAAAAAGAGAGGCGGGACATCAGGACGGTGTGGAGGAGAGAGTGGAGGTGAGAAACCAACCAGGAGCCAGCCACTAGCAGTAGGCAGGCCTGGTTGCTCATCACTGTGGCATAGTGCAGTGGCCGACAGATGGCCACGTAACGGTCCACGGCCATGGACGCCAAGAGGAAGCTGTCGGTGATGCCAAAGGCCACAAAAAAGTACATCTGGGCCAAACATCCACCATAGGAGATCTTCCTCACTCCAGAGAGCATATTGGCCAAGAGATTGGGCACGGTGGCTGTGGTGAAGCAGATGTCCACCAGGGAGAGGTTACTGAGGAAGAAGTACATTGGGATGTGGAGGAGCTG